CCGGTGGTAATGATATCTTCCATATTTCTGGTATGTGCATTGAGTCATTTCTGTTGCATGTGTTGGAGAGACAGGTTGATTACGGAATCCTTATTCATCGAGTCTACACCCAACACATGCAACAGAAATGACTCAATGCACATACCAGAAATATGGAAGATATCATTACCACCGGTCAAATCAGAAGAGGATAATAAATAATCTTAAAATTCTATTTCAATTCAAACACATCACAACATTCTAACAATTAACTTATTATGAATATAAAAGCACACGTCGTATTTCCCATCTGATTGTAATGGATCAATAACACTCGTACTATTATTTCTGAATGCACATTATCTCATATTGAATTTTATTCCAATATCTAATCGATTCCACACATGTATATAAAGGAAAGAAAGAAGTTGTGTGAGTAACTTGATATGATTATGAGCAATAGTTTGTGCTCGAAACGTCATCAGTTAATATAACTGTACAACACTGTGTGATTTATCAAAATAAAATCTTATCCATAATGGAGTTATGTTTATACTAGCCAGTTGATGTTGCTTACCCACGCATTCAGTTATAATGTCCCACCTTTGTTTCCATAAAAAACATCCCCTAAACTATCAACAGGTTACTATTACTTCTAAATATATAACTTCACCTCTTCGCATGTAAATGATTTTAATAAGTTTATCACGTATTTGATGTTTCGATTTTCTAAGTATCAGCTTTCCTTACTCAAGCACCTATTTCAATTCAGACGGATCGTTCTAAACTTTGAAAGCTGCATTAGTATGCTTTGTTATGCGCCATCCTTGTAGGTTCTCAGCTTGGCTTAATGTACACCTCAAAATAACCACTCTTACAAAACTTCTTCACCGCTTAATGACCTTAGATGTACACTGCCTAACGTGCAAGTACTCACGAACAGAATCAAGGTAAAATGACTTGAGATGACAAGTGTGTCTGGAACAGATTTACATTTTACACAAATGAGATTTGAAATTCGATAAAATAAGAGGTTATACAACTTATCTGCTGCCTTGACTGTGGTTGGCTTGGAGAGTGCGCTGAATGAAAGCACACCGAGAGAGTGAACCGAAAATGTACAGGAAAGTCACAAATCAAAAGATGAAGTAGTTCTAAAAGTGGGCGTGTGAGTTCAAACAAAAGTTCAAAGGTTCAATGTACTCTACATCCTTCCAAAATATAGGTACTGATAATAATGACTGCTAACAACTTTATCACGACAACAAGAATGCATTGCATTTTAACGACAGCATAACTCTAGTGCAAACGTCTCTTCTAAATATACTACTCAATATAACACATGAACCTCGTCTCCCGAACTCTGTAGCTCACACCATTCGCAAAGTTTAATATTCACTGCGAACAAGTAAAATATCCGATTGAGGAATAGAGAATATATTTATTATTGATTTAACACAGAATACAAAATCAGCGGTACTGGAAACCACTTACTTCAGCAATGAACCCCATGAGGTCGCCTAAATAACCGAGTAGCTAAAATAGAGAAAACAAGGGTTCACAGAATTTACACATGAATATAACTATTAATATATTAGTGAACGAGTTAAAAAGGTAAGAAGTACTAGAAGTTTATATCAGTCACTATTTTTGACACAAGTAGATATATAGACAAAGCAATAAGACATAATTTGTCCGAATCGTGTAATGTATTTGCGCAACACATTTCGAACAATTTGGTCACACACACCAACTTGTCATAGGAATATATATCAAATTAGTAGAGTTAAGAGGTGAGAAAATAGACTTCGGTCAACTTAAAAGGACATATTGAAGGTCAAAATAACAATGAAGATCACTAAACCAAATAATAGTACATCTACCCTGCATGGTATCAAAAAAAAGTTTACCAAGGAAGGTTTAGTGTGATGACGAATTGTTTTCGAACGCATAAAGGTGGTTTAAACTTTCTAATTGCTAGGGCTTCCACAAACTTTAGGATACATCCCAAACACGTTTTATGGATAAGTTTAAAAGATGTGTTAACGTCAATTTTATGTCTTTCCTCTATAATGTGTTTCGCAATAAAGGAGCTAGGTCTCCTGTTCTCACCATTAATGGGTTCTGAAGATTCTATTTGTTTCTGGAGCCATTTCGGAATATGCTGTGAAGCCCTTACTTGCAGAGATCGATGAGTCCTCCATGAGTGGACATATCAACTGCTTCTAAACCTTACGTCCGTAGCTTCAACAAATGTCGGACACTACGTCTATATGATTCCTAGATGATCCTATGAAGTGTCGTTGTACATACGCACAGAATGTAGCTTCAGATGAATAGTAAAAGGCAGGAAGTCTATGAAATCAAACTCAATGATAGGACAAAGTGGCGCACACCTCAGATTTCTTTACTCACCTGATCACGACTGTTTAAGTTTTCAAATCCAGCAATGTACTATGGTATATTGTTGTGCGCATTTATATCATTTAAAATTTTTGGCAGAAAACATCAAGTGATGCGAGCTTTCATAAAACATATTTCAGTTTCTGCCCATATATGACCACCAATCTTTGCTTGTATCTATGGATTCCATTGGCTTTTAGCAGTCAAAACACCAGACAAATGTGCAGAAGCAGGAATTCGATAACAACCATATTCTTAGGTTCCTGCAACGACAAAGGTTCCTTAGAAAGGCCGATTGGAGAATTTTCGACAAAAAACAGGTTGCCAGAGAGCTGCAGGGAAATATTTCGAAAGCCAGTTGCCTAAATGTACTGGAAGCATACTAAGCATACAAAATAAGCATTGCATGAACCATATATTTAAGCGTCCTGGTGCACAAACAATACGTCAGTGCTTAGGAACTATATCAAACATCAATTTTGATATAAATTCACTCAACAAGATCCAAATAAGCACCAAAATCACGTCAACTGCATTCGCTTGGGCGACTAGCCCCAACTCAAATTAACTGAGCAAATGCCGTGAAAATGAAGCAGGTGGCGCCACTTCAAATAGGGTATATGCCATATTATCTCCCGAATGCATGAATAACTTCTAAGCATGCATATCAAATGTCAAAGAAGGCCTCACTCTACGGGCGTAGGTTATTAACTTTCACTCCACTAAATGCGCGATCACTGAATGAACCCAAAACAAAAACGTTAATGTTAGGAATTTCCGTTTCTCCATTTTATTTATGAAATCCCTTGTCGCCGTTTTGGCTGTATTTTTTATCCTACTACCCTATTTGTCATCACAGTTACCACAAGCTTCTTGTCGAAATATGCCACAGCCGTCATGTGATATCCATTCCACTATTCTAACGACAAGTAGTGCATATATCTGGACAAGGAATTCGGGATAATAGACAAAAGTAAACATTTCTTCGGTGAATGTGAAACTGTACTTCAAAACTTGTAATTACCTTCCCTCAGATATGAAGTGTTTATCTTCTGTGATTACAGCTTCTGTACTACACAACAGCATGACTTATTACATTAGCTGAAATACAGTTTTAACCTTGAACTCAGGAATCGATGTAACATACGAGTCCGGAGTGTTGGAAAGACATTTCAGAGAAACTTCGCCAATAAGCTTCTCGTGAACCCCAAAAGCCTATACAGGTTTATGTTTGAAAGAAAAGCGACCAACCAGGGAGCTTGCAATCTAGTGGGTTCTGATGGGAAATCTCTTACCAGTCATGAAATAACAGAGACATTCAGTCTAGCCTTTCACAGGCAGCTAAACAGTAACGAGGATTTTACCCCCACAAAACATCAAGATTACAATGCAAGACCAACGTGCGAAAACCTGCTGGGTACATTTCAAATTACCCCGGCTATGGTACTCGTAAAATTGGGAAAGTTGACTTCGGGAAAGTTTGCAGGTTGTGATGCCATAAGACCATCCGTCCTGAAGGAGTGTTCAGAAAGTCTCTGCCAACCCCTAAGTGATCTGTTTCAACACTCTTTTGATGTAGGGAAACTTCCATGTAAATGGAAACGAGCCATCCTATCCCCTATCTTCAAGGGTTGTGACCGGCAGAATGCGACCAGTTACAGACCAGTTGTGCTACTTCCAGTGATGCCGAAGATATTGGAAAGTCTCATTGACGACCACATGAGAAAATACTTCAACGGGAATAACCTAATCCATGAAGCACAGCACGGTTTCAGGAGGGGAAGATCCTGTGTGACGAATCTTCTACTAGCTTGGAACGATTGGACACTATTCTGAGACGTAAAGGTACCAGTCCATGTGATCTTTCTCGACTCTGCGAAAGCATTCGACACAGTTCACCATGGTCTGCTCCTTCACAAAATAAGCAAGGCGGGTGTTTCTGGAGCACTTCTCGCATGGCTGAAAGATTACTTAGGCGAGAGAGAATTCTGCACCAGAGTCAACCGCATCCGATCATCCAGGCCCACCCAAATAAAAGCATCCTGCCATTAAGTGATTATAGGCTTCCACGAGGTAACCCGCTAAAGATAACACACCAGAGACGAAAGACTCGAGTGCGTTCACATTTCTTTTCGTTTCGAGTTTGCCGTCTTCGGAACGCTTTAACGGCGGCCGTGACTACAGCGCCATCTGTGGAGACTTTTAAGCGGAAGCTGGACAATCATGCAGAAATGCAAGGTTTGTGTCTCAATGGCTTATCCTCCTAAAATTTGAAACCACACTGTCAATGGATAAGCATACAAGCTAAATCCCCACGACCCGTTCTGTCTTCTCTCACTGTACCGACTACTCTATCTTTTCCTTAGGTCACCTTTATTATTTCACTTACCTCAACCTATATTATCTACACTACAACCTATTATTATTATTACGATTCCACTTTTATGACTACACCGAATGACTAACGGGAGTTAGGTCAAACTCCATTCACGGCAGCAACACAGTCCTAACATACTGCACACTACAAACCACATCTTGACCAATCCCCGGACCACTCCTCTTGGAGTCTACCAGAGCTAAAGCAGTCGAGTGGCGGGATTTAATACGCATAAGTTCACCGAAGATCTGGAACCTCTACCTTACAATCAAGAAGCGAGCTCAAAGAAATCACTGGTTTATACTAGCTCGTAATCAGGATATTGGATATTGGAATACCAGCGCCGTACTGCTCTCAACGTTACAATCAGCTGAGTTGGGGACGTAAGTGCACGGAAGTTGTTGTAAGGTCATTTGTATATGCTGTTCATAAAATTTGCAGTCGTGGACATGCTTAAATTTTTCATTTTCAAACACAAAGTACTTTGGTGACGACCATTGATCAATGCTAAATGGAGCGTGTAATAAGACACAAACAATTACACAGATCAAGCACGCAGGGTAGAGCGGAGAAGCAGAACACGACTTGAGAAAAAGCACTTTATAACTGACACTGAATTACACCAACAGAAGTCCAAAAATTATATACATGTAGGTACAAAGAGCTAGGCTATTACAGTTCAGCGTCCACCGGTTTTTGAACTGACGCTTTCTTTCAAATTTGAACCACTACAGAGCGTCTACCAATGGTTATAACCATATGCTACTCTATAGTGCCAAGATAAGTACAGTCTGATGTGAATGAGCACGTTTTTACCTATTTTTATCATGATCACAAAAATATATTCGACTGGGTTGTTCTATGACACTTCCGAAATACGCTTGTCTATCAATCGCCCGAAGTCATTGCAAGTATGAGTTCACACTTTGTAAATGTAATTACTGTTTAAACTCACTGTTTTTGGTTATACAATCGATTTCATATTTCGGCAGACCTACGGTCTTTGAGGTCACCTACCTCTTTTTGTTATGCATTTCACTGATGCGACCATTCCTCATGGTCTGATGTTTCGTATATTTAGACAGTATGTAGGTTGTTTTACTCAGATGAAAAATTTTGGGAAATGTAGGCATTTCCGAAGTTATTTCTGGGTCCGGGGAGAAAATATTACACTATCCCAATTTCCTCATTGATTTTCCCTATAATTATTTTTATTTCGGGTAGTTAATGGTTTGAACTAAAATATCACCATCATAATATTGATTTCATATGTGTCAATTTCGCCCAAAACGTCTGAGTCACAAACTGGATGCTCAATGTCTTACCTTTATACAAGCACTGCGAGACTGCAGACGTCCACGGTTAAGAAACACGCATCCATTGCTTTCTGTTGTGTTTAATAGTAAATTTTCACACAAACTTAAGATTTTGTAGTAAATTGGATAACCTTCTACAGCCTGTTAGTACACTTTTTTTCTCAATCTCCGCTTCACTAAATATATATGAATTGTTATGTATGCTATAGTGTAATCAACAATTGGAGTGGCAGTGGTCGGTTGTATTAGGTGTACAGCTTTCAGTCAGCTTCGTTGTTTCAGACATTAACTCCTCTGTTGAGATTTCTTCAGCTAGGTAATACCGCGTAACACGTGTAATTCATTGACTGACAGGTTGTGACTCGACATAGAACTTGGCGCAGAAGTGCAGCAGTTGAAAGTGCCACACTTCATGTACCACACAAAAGAGCGAGAAAGAGATGCACAAAGACCGTGATAAACAGAATTGGGAGGAAAAAAGAATAGTAACATGGAAAGGCATGACATTTTATTGGGTATGGGCAACCACAAAGAGAGATTGCATCCATTCCATCCGTTCTGAACGACTTTGAGCCATGTCACCAATACTCTGAAGTCATTGCATCTTATCATCCTCATCGATTGACTTACCCTCTGTACCCAACACTACGTGTGACCTTAATATTACCGTATTATGTCACTTAACATAAGAGACAGAACGCAGACACCTATGATCAAGAACAGCTGGTCATTTTCCTATCTCTTTTTCAATGATCATGTCTCAGTCATATAAAAGGAAGGAGCAAGATTTTGCGCGGTGCACACATCCTTTGATCGATAGCCAGATGTCAAGTCTGCGCCAAAAATGACTTAGGTTGGCATATGCTACATGAGACTCGTATCTGTACTGAAATTTCTTCAACAATCAGTCCATTAAAGCCCATGGAACCTCTTAAATAAACGAAGTGGTCAAAACACTTCCACTTCACTCACCGTCTTAAGACTGCGAGTCGGTGCACACAAGTACTGTACCATCATCTTACATTTGACAGGGGCAAATCGCCTACCAAACATTCCGACATTTCTGCTCAAGGTGTTCAGAAGACTCTGCACTTATCAGCGTCTTCACCTCGAAGGACAATATCATCGGTATACTCCAAGTTGACAAGACTATTTATTCCCTGGTAACAAGTCAGTCACACTAATACATCTATGATGAAATTGAACAGTACTAGGGACAGCGGATATCCCTGACGGATACCACTGACTGTCATTAATTCAGACGACAACTGTCCATAGGCTCTAACCTAGTTGCGTGAGTTTGAGTAGAGCACCTTGATTAGTGCAGTGCACTTTCTCGACACCCCCTTCACGCCGAAACATTACTATATGGCAGGTCGGTTGATGGAGTTAAATGCTGCCTTCAAGTCAAGAAATATGACAAGTATTATTATTTTTTTAATTTTTGATTACACCTTGATACCACACCGTATTTTCAGTACAAGTATGGCATTTTCAGCATGGATATCGGTAGCCCAAATTTTGCAGACCGACCATAGATATCGGGTGTGCGTCGGTAGGAGATCGAACCCCGGACCATGTGCATGGTTGGCGAGAGTCCTAACCACTGTGCCACCGACGCGTCAGTATGTCTATATTCCAGAATCTGTCGAAGTGTGAGTCTAGTCTAGAGCCTGTCTGCTTCTCTCGAATTTGTCACTTCCGAGTGCCACGTAATCTACGCACGAATATTTAGCCTAGAGCTTTAGTTACCATATTAGACTAGCTAATCCTCCTCTTATTAAAATCACCTTTACCACTGTTTCTACAGCTGGCTAGATGAGTCTTACTATTAAGCTCGAATATGCAAGTAGGTGGTTTTTCTTTGAACAGGGAATAAGTGTCCTGATCAAGTTGGAGCGTAACAGCTTCACTGTTGCCTTTTCTGTGTCCATTCAGTTATAGGCAAAAATGTGCCCAGATCAGGGTATGATCGTAGTCTACTCACGTGTTCCAGAAAGAACAGTAGTCTTTTATATACAATCGCCATCGATAGCTTATCGTTGTGTGGTTTGTTTGAGTCCGTCGTTGATTTGACGGCGGAGGTCACCACCATGATAGGTGATGTCTCTTCCTTTGTCTTTGAAGTTAGTGATGATCAGGAACAGATGATTATCTGAACAGAACTATAGAAGACGATCACCGTTGTCATTTCGTCGATAAGGAACTCCCTAGGTGCCATCAACATACTTCTCAAACTGATACAACTTCCCTACTTGAACATTGAAGTCGCCTGCTAAAACGAGTATATTGGAGGGTTTTACTTTTCGCAGCAAACTAGACAGCTTTTCATAGAACTCATTCTTTGTTTCGCCCAAACTGCAGCCTATTGAGGTGTCAAGCGGAGGTTATGAAAAGACATCGATGGGTTATTGCAGTCTTAATTTCTTCTAACGGGTCCATTCAGACGGATAGCACATTTACGGCTATCCACTGCAATCCAGTCAAGTAGAGTTTTCCACCCTAACACTCAACGGTATTCCTACACCTGCTAGTTCTTGCCAACTAGTCGAAGAATCTGTTAACGGCAATAAGGTGAGCTTTTTAGATGCACCCTGTTGTCCAGGTGGAGTTAAGTGAATAACCATACTCAGGTCTTGTATGGGTGTCTCCGAGACGCAAAATACCTCCGTGGTTCGAGATGCCGGAGTTCCGGTTTGTGATGCCTGTTGTTCAATTTGGCGAAGGGTCCTGTAGGATGATGTTACAGCACTGGACTACACAAAGTCCTAGCTTAGAAATAGGGAGTGAGGTGGTAGAGCACGTTGACTGCTTTACTTATTTGGAAGTTGCATCAGCCCCAACGGATTGATCGCTGACGAAATCTCAGTACGGATACAGAAAGTTAGTTTCGCATATGCCAGTTTACGCCGCCTTTGTGTAGATGTGATATCCAGCTGGCTGGAGACCAAAAGGCGGGTGTACTGCTCAGCGGTCCGTCCCGTCCTCCCTAATGGCTGTAAATGAGATCTGGCCATTGAGAGTGGAAGACATGAAAAGGGTGGCTAGCTGTCTTTGATCATAGGTGCCTGTGTTCTATCTCCCGTGTTAGGTGGTGGTATAATAGGGTGAGAAATGTTGAGGTTAGGCATCGGTCGAGTGCTAGGTAGGTGGGAGGGGAAATCAATCGACGAGGTTGTGAAGTTACATCGATTGAGTGAGATGGTTAGGACATGTGTTACGTATGTCTAGTCATCGCCTTCCTCGACTGGCAATGTTAGCTGACATAGAGTCAGGCTGGGAAAGAGCTAGCGGCGGTTAAACAGAAACGTCACCAGTCAATGAAATCCACGACAGTTAGTCTAAGCCACGTAGGAAGGTGTAGACTTCATGATTGGATTCCTCGAGATGGTAAAGACCAAAGGCTAGCGACAGTCGGTGATATGGCTCAAAATCGTTGTCAATGGGTGGCGAAGATGCATCCACTCCTAGGGACTTACAATACCCAATGAAACTATATTGTTCTTCGCTATTATTATTCCTTTTGTCTCATATCCCTGTCTACTGTCTCTGTTTTGCATTTCTTCTATTTTCTTATCTTGCTTTGTGTGGTACAAGGAGGGAGTTTGACGACTGTAACTGCTGCACATCGGTGCAAGGTTCTATGTTGAAAACAGACGAACAGAAGGGTCCTGACGTTAAATGCTCTAGTATGAATTTGGCAGTGGGGCTTTAAGGAACTTTCATCAGTGTTTTTATGGCCCCACCTTTGTATTCCTTACAGAACTCTGAAATGTCTTCTATAAGAATCCAGAAATTTAATCTGCCTTCCCCATACAGTTAGTTATACCTAATTATGTTGAAGTTCATAAATTTTTAAAAAAATGAAAGCAGGGTCATGGGGCTATCCGATGAATTCGGAGGACTACGTTTCTTGCGAGAAGATTCTAAGTGATCATACCAACCAAATGACTAATACATGTAGCTCATCCTATAGAAGAAGTCTACAGTCACCACTGTGTGTGACTTTTTGAGGTTCAGTGTGAGTCGGTCATGCGAAAATGTTGACAATAGCCGCATTATCGGACTGTTGTTAGGCAATTTCGATGAATTTTGAAATGTCATGTAGTGTGGCTTTTTAACTTTGAATAGTGATGGAAATAACATCATTTCATTGCAGCCCAAATATGGACGGATTTGTAAAATAAGTTGCTACGTTGGTCTTCATAGCTGCTCTGCAATGGTTATATTTATTTCATATTTTATTACAATGACTAAGAAAGCTCTTACAAATGTTTTGTAAGCTAGGAGCTAAATATATTTTCATGGTTTCAGTCACAATTTATTCGTTCAAATTAGCTTCAGTACTATGAAATTCAAAACTTGGATAATTTAGCCAACCATAAGCTTAACTTGATGGAACATATCTGAACATTTTCAGTTTATATGCTACAATAACCAAATTTACGACTCATATACAGGTCTATCAGTGCCAAGTTCGTTAGACCTAATAAGGTAAAAGCTAACAGTAACCTAGAATCTTACGACGCGTGAAGTTTGTCTTCAGAATTCAAGTGTTAGATGTACAGGTTCTGAACTTTCATACGATTTCCTGTTAAATGATAACGGCAGCCAATTTAGGTTAGAATGAAGTAGACATAAGATATAAATTCAATAACTGTTGGGCTCAACTACTCTTAATGATCGCAAAATAGATTACCGTTTCATTAGTCGAATTCGCAATTTACTACTTACAGATTTCGAGATATTCGCCGAATTAACCCGCCAGAATTCGTGTGCCTCGAACTGATTCAGCTCTTAGAGCTGAGTCAAACTTGGTACACCGTTGATAACGTCAGCCTCAAACGAGCGAAATAGTCCTCTGGTGTTTTGACCACTTCAAGTATTACAGGTTGATGTTAGTGGTATCCAGCTGCTCATATCAGTCAGTCAGTAGTACGTACTATCATACCGTTTCTTTATTTGAAAGTGTTTATGACTTTATGTTCAAGCAAAGCCAGCTAACTGTTTTGCACCTCATTCCAGTTTTCAGTGACAGGTATTTACCACTTCAACCTCACTACTTATCACGTTGACACTCAACGTGAGCGGCTGAGATAAAGTTCGTGATACTTTCAAGCTTTTTACTTTCACCGGCCATCTCAGTTACAATGTAGGATAGGTTGAGCTACTACTTCGTACTCTTACGTTTTGATGGTTAGCCGGATATCCTATCAGCGCTAAGACTCACATAGTCTGGCGAATGTGAAGCGGGGCTTTTGCATCTCTGCTGAGATTTCACCGGCAACTAGTGTGTTACGGCTGATTGAAAGTGGCAAAACATTTGTGAATAGTTACAGGATGAACAAAACTTTCATGATCTAGTGTCAACTGCAACGTACTTGGTATTCTTCTAGCATCTAATAATGAAGCGTTCTGTTGCATCCCCCTGTGCTATAGTTGTGATGTTTTGCAGTGTCATCCAGAAGAAATCGCATTTGTATTCACATGTATTCGTTTTTTATTTGGCACTTAAGGAAAAACCCCACTTATTTTACGTTCAACCACTGATTACTTTCACCTAGCATTTTTTGTGTTTTTTCTAGCTGCCATATGAGGTCTCGTAAAGTTCGCTGTTTAAGACAGACTACAGAACTTGGCTCATCTTCGGATTCTGATGAAAATAATTTGGATGATCCTACGCCTTCAGTTGTTACCGATTCTACGGTAGTTGTGGAAGCAATCAGAGAACTACAGAAACTGAGGAAACGACCAGCTGGTATCAGTTTGCCTGCACTGGCTACGGGCAAAGAGGTTCCAGATCTGAACTTGGCAATAGCTAGTGATCCATTTAAACTAAAAACTGGTGGTCTGGTCGACCTAAGTAGTATTTCATCGAACAAACAAGCTGAGGAGGATGATGATGTTGAAGCTCGTTTGGCCAAAACATTTGCAACGGAAACTAATAAGAGAGATGAAGATGCTGAAATGTATTTTGTTTGTTTGTTAAGACTAATCTTCCATTTTAGGATTAAATATATCGAAGAGGAGCTAGCTAAACGAAAGGGATTGGTCAAACCGTCATCTCTAGAACGGTATGTCGTACCACTTTTTATACTGCCCTGTTTTTATTGGTGATGTGCTGCGCAATTTTATTTTTTGTTTATGGGTAAAGAAATGAGTAACTTTCAGTGTAACTAAGCTTTGATTTGCAGCTTTGTGGATATTTGGAAACCGGTACAGTTCACTTAGTTGATAGTGAATCAAGCTGCTTATTATTTCAACCTCACCTAATTACAGACTTTTTTATACCGGGTTTTATATCTTTGTAGTACAAAGGTACAAAAATTTGAAATGAAAAGGATAAACTCTATTAGTGTTCGTTAGGAACTAAATATCAAATAGAAATACTGAGTAAAGGGCTATCATCAACAGGAAGGTCAAGATGGAATCATATGATTATACATTAAAATCCTGCAAGCTTACAATATAGAAAACTAATTAGATTTGAATAGTATATTTCCACCTAAATGGTGACTGGAGGTCACAGCCGCGAAGATCTAACTACCATCTGAATTAGGAAACTGACAAGTGGTTATGATGTATTACTGAACAATAAAGCAACGGCGTTCCTAGTTATTGATTTCGATTGTCAGCTGTTTGATGAGCATAGTTGCTCAAAACATTTTTGACTTTTCAATTTTCCAAGGTATCGACCAAATCTGAAAAGATGTGTCATTTTACGAAATGTTTGACCTTAATAGATCTGTGAAACTGGTAGTTGTGGCTTTTTGGTTTCTTCCCTGGGAAATGTACTACTGAGTTAGCCTCTGTCATTTTATCTTCATAGTGTGTACTTTCATTCATTCCTCTTTTAAAGTTCTGCGTGCATTATTCATTTAGTTTCCTTATTAGGATGGGACATTAAGTACAGCTACTGGACTGATGTTTATCCGTTCAAATAAATGATTTCATTTTAAGGTTGGATAGGTGCAACTACCTTCGGAGGGACCTAATGGTATGTTTTCTCAGGTGTTTAAGGACGATATTGGTGGCCTACTACCTGGTTTTAAATAAGATATTAAGTAATGGATGGGAATCCTAAAATATTACTACTGGACTGGTGTAAATCATTAGTTGTCCGAGTTTATCAATGGGGAGACAAGTTTTCTTTTGATAGTTGTAATAGCGTCAGCTTGACTAGCTTAGTGTCCAAAATTCTAGGTGTAATCTCGCGGAGTAATTGATTCTCAACAGAAATAAAACTGTGAAAACTAGGTAAGCTTTATTCAAAGACGAGGGTTTATTGATCGTATCTTCAACGTTCGACAGATTCCAAAAAAGTAGGTATACTCATCGGTGTTCAACTCAGTTTTCAACTTAGAACTCCGCACAAAAGTGAAGCAGTTCAAGTTGTCACACTTCATATAGTTCATGGTTTAGATGACTGGCAAGTAATCACTGTCCACATAATTCCATAACCACACAAAGCTTACCTGGTTATCATTCATGGATATCAAACAATTGTCATATTTCTTGACCTGAAGGGGCCATTTGACTCCGTCGACTGAGAGATGCCGTGGCAATGTCTGTTCGTGAAGGGAGTTCCGAGAAAGTGCATCGTGCTAGTCAAGGCACTCTACTTGAATTCATCCGTCAAGGACACCTACTGTTTCCATATCTGTTCATTTTCATCACAGACGTATCAGTGAAGTTGACTCTAAATGAATTCAGTAACTTAGGGATTGACTTGTTACCAAGAAATAAATAGTCTTGTCAACTTGGAGTATACCGATGATATTGTCCTTCGAGGTGAAAACTCTGATAAGTGCAGAGTCTTCTGAACACCTTGAGCAGAAATGTCGGAATATTTGGTAGGCGATTTGCCCCTGTCAAATGTAAGATGATGGTACAGTACTTGTGTACACCGACTCGCAGTCTTAAGTGTGTCGACCACTTCACTTATTTGGGAAGTTGCATGAGCCCAATTGGACTGATTCCTGACGAAATATCAGTAGGAATACAAAAGGCTCGTATGATATTTGCTTATTTCCGTTGTCGCTCCTGTGGACATTGCCTGGCTACTGGTCAAAGTATGTGTACTGCTCAACAGTCCGTTCCACCCTCCTGCATGACTGTGAGACACATGGTCATTGAAAGTGAGAGATATGAAAATGATTAGCTGTCCTTGATCATAGGTGCTTGCGTTTTGTCTCTAGTGTTAAGTGATATAATAGGGCGTGCAATGTTGAGGTTAAGCGTAGAGTGTTGGGTAGTTAGGGGGAGTTAGTGACTTGAGACTGTTCGCGATATGGCCCAAAGTCGTTCACAATCGAACATATATATTCACTGTTTGTCATCTCGTAGATCCATTAAGTTCTTACTCTTCTCCATGTAAGTATTCTTTCTCCAGTGCATCTCCGTTTATCATACTTTATTTGCATCTCTGTTTCTTGTCTGCCTTAATGTGCATTTTTATGATTCGTGATAATTTGAACTGCTGAACTTCTGTGCGAAGTTCTTAGTAATTTACCCACCTTCAGGAAATAAACAAATTTAGTTATGCGTAACTTCGAATACTGTAGAATCCAATTAGGTTAAATGTTGAACATACGCATATTTCTCACTGGTCACAGTGCTCCTGGTAGCAAGGGGACTGACTATTAATGGTTTGTAAGGCGATTATTGAATTTGAAGTAGGAGAATTATTTTGACTAGCCTTCCACTTCATAATAGTTATTTAGATAAATAAAATCATCTATTTATTTTTTCAGAGACGAGGATTCAGACTTACTTCAGGATGTTCCTGAATATCTCAGACCATCTATTGGTCAACAAAAAGAAGATATGCTGTCCAACCAAATGTTATGCGGTATCCCTGAAGTCGATTTAGGTGTGGAAGCAAAAATGAAAAACATAGAAGCCACAGAAGAAGCCAAACAAGTTTTATTAAAGAAAAGATATGTCCGCAAGCATGATCATTTGAAGGACGAAATAGCACCTATCAATATGGCAGTTAATTTCGTTCAGCATAGTCGATGGAGTGAGTTAAATTTTAATTATTAACGTCCATTAATTTGTTTATGCTCAAGTTATAAAACTACCTCAATCATCTTTAACAGTTAAATACACTATAAATGCTAATGTTTTCTAGTAAATCTTAAAATATTGTATAGGAATGGATTTTAAAAATACTTTCATTTGTTTTACTGATAATATGATTCTGTTAAATGAGAATAATCATGAAATCTACAACATGAAGTTCCCATTCAACTTTCATTTTTAACTGTTTTGTGTATAGGGAGAAGCTCCTATTCACGCTTAATTTTCTAGTTTAGCTGGTGTGAACTGATTTAGCTCTCTAATTTGAATTAATTTAAGTACAGCACGGATGATCTTGTCTGCCGATGAGTGAAACTACAGTCCAGTTTCAAGGTAGTCTCAATCTAGCTAACGAATAATAATTGGTGTGATTAGTTTTCAGCCACTTACTTTAATCAGTGGTATATATATTACCTAGTATTTATACATGCTATCTTGGTGCTTTCTATGACGTCAAGTTAATGACACACTATTATATGAGTATTTTTAGTTTCCATATGAACATGTTATGAAATTTCACATTGAAAGCATACTTGTCAAATGAATTATTGTGCTACTTACTGCTTGTGTTTTTGATTATCTGTCGACAAATGACTCATAACAATGTGTCTGACATCCGTTGAATAATTTAATAATTCCCATTGTAGCATTAAGAAGACAATATTCAGCGAAGAGACTCTTTTCATAATAATAAATTCGTTGAAAAGAAGAGTCTCTTCTCTGTATATTGCGTTCTTAATAATTTTATCACTACCACTAATAGTGTTGTAGATAGACTCGGTATCATATACAGGAAATCAGAAATCAACTAAATGCTCTAACCTTTAGGATCTCTGCTTAACGTTCAGTCTCAACAAAATATATTATTATCATTATTGTTCCCTTGGGTTCCTAGTGGAACATAGGGCTTCAACTGCACGTCTCCACTTGCTTCTGTCTTCTGCTGTTCTTTTCACTTGCGTCCATGTTATTCCATACTGTTTCATCTCCTCCTCACACGATCTCCTCCATGTCACCCTTGGACGTCCCACTCGCCGCTTCCCTTTCGGGTTCCACTCGAGGGCCTGACGCGCGATGTCACCCAACGGCCTCCTCAGCGAGTGTCCAATCCATCTCCACTTCCTCCTGCATATTTGTTGGGCGATTGGTTCCTGTTTCGTTTGTTCCCATAGCTTCTTGTTTGTGATTCTTTCCGGCCATCTAATCTTCAGTATGGAGCGAAGACAGATGTTGATAAAGGTCTGCAACCTGTTGAAAATATTCTTGGTGACCCGCCAAGTTTCTGATCCGTAAAGCAAAATTGACTTCACGTTTGTATTGAAAATCCGAATTTTGTTGTTGATGCTGAGTGACGAAGATTTCCAGATTGGTTTCAGGTTGATGAATGTGTTTCTCGCCTTCCCAATTCTCGATTTGACATCCTCGTCCGTTCCTCCTGTGGTTGAGACAATGCTCCCTAGATAAGTGAAAGAAGTAACCTCTTTCAAATCCCTCCCGTTGATGGTGATTGGCACTGGATGTTGCTGCTGTTGTTGATTGGTTATTTTCATGACCTTCGTCTTGTCTATGTTCACCTGGAGTCCTGTCTTTGCTGCTTCTTCGACCAGTTTGTCGGTTTTCGCTTGTAAGTCTTCGATTTTGTGTGACATCAAGCATAAATCATCTGCGAAATCCAGGTCTTCTAGGTTCTTCGCGTCGGTCCAGGATATCCCTGTCTTCTCGTTTTCCACCGTCTGACGCATAATCCAGTCCACCACAATTAGGAATATCATTGGTGATAATAAGCACCCTTGTCTGACTCCTGTGTTTACTCCAAACGCCTCGCTGAGTTTTCCGTTGTGGATCACTTGACATGTGCCGTTGTCGTATAGCTGTTGAATAAGGTTGATGAATATTTGTGGTACGCCGTAGTACTCGAGTAGTTTCCAAATTACTTCGCGGTCAACGCTGTCGAAGGCCTTCTCAAAATCTGTGAAGTTGAGGTAGAGGTTTGATTGCCATTCCATGCTTTGTTCTGTGATGATGATGCGTAGAGTTGCAATTTTGTCAGAACATGATTTGCCTTTCCTGAATCCAGCTTGTTCTGGTCGGAGTTCTGTATCCAGTGCGTCCTTTATTCTCCAGGATGATGCGACTCAGGATTTTACTTGGCGTCGACAGGAGCATGATTCCTCGCCAGTTCTTGCAGAGTCCTAGGTCGCCCTTCTTTGGTAGTTTCACGAGGTAACCTTTCTTCCAGTCAGTAGGCACCTTTCCCTCTTTCCACACCTTTTGCAATAATGGAGTTAGCATATCTGCTGTCGTTTCTGGGTCCGCTTTCAGTGCTTCCGGGGGTATTCCATCTGGTCCAGCTGCTTTTCCAGCTTTCAGAAGCTTGATTGCATTCAAGACTTCAGTTTTCGTTGGAGGATTGGTGTCAACTTGCAGTTGTGTACGTGCTGTCGTTGGTATTTCTGGACGGGATTTAGGTGGTGGTCTGTTCAAGAGTCCTTTGAAGTGATCCGCCCATTGTTTAATCTGTCTTTCTTCTTTGGTAATTGGGTTCCCCTGGCTGTCTTTTATAGGTTTCACTTGTGTTGATCTCTTCCCGGATAGAGACTTGGTTATCTGATATAGTGTCCTCAGGTCCCTTTTGCCTGCTGCCTTCTCAGCTTCAGTAGCCAGGTTGTCGTAGAATTGTCTTTTGTCCTTCCTGGCACTCTTCTTCACTTCTTTGTCCAGTGCTGTGTAAGTTGAGCTCAGCGTCTCTTTCTCTTGTCCATCTTTGCATTGAATCATTTTTTCTTTCACCATTCTCCTCTCCTCTATTAGCTTCCAAGTGTCCGTTGAGAGCCATTCCTTGTCTTGTCTCTTCTTTCTTCCTAAAACCGTTGAACACATTTCGTTGAAAATTACTTTCAGAGAGTTCCAATGGTCTTCCACGGATGATTCCTCAGTGGTGCCAAGTAGTGTTTCTTGCTTTGCTCTGACAGTTGCAGTGAAAGTGTCCTTTGTGGTTGTGTCTTTCAGTTTTTGCGTGTTGAACTTGCATTGTGGCCTATCCCCAGATATCCTCGAGGCTTTCAGCTTCACCTTGAAAGTCCCTTGTACTAGATAGTGGTCTGAACCCACATCTGCTCCTCTCCTCGATCTTGTGTCCAGTAGGCTCCGTCTCCACTTCCTTGAGATTGAAATGAAGTCTATCTTGTTTTTGGTGTGTCCATCTGGTGAAATCCATGTTGCCTTGTGTATATCCCTGTGTTTGAACACACTGCCACCAATCACCAAATCATTGAAGGCGCAGAAGACTGAGAAGAGTTCACCATTTTCGTTCATTTCACCGAGGGCCTCACGACCCATGGTGAGTTCTCTTCCTGTATTGTCTCCTCCCAGTTTCGCATTCATGTCGCCCATCAGGATTTTGATATCGCTCTTTGGGACGTTGTCCATTACTGTTTGTAGTTGACTGTAGAAATCCTCCTTCTTCTCATGTTCTGAGGCGTTTGTAGGCGCGTAGCACTGAATGATTGTAACCTTTTTTCCTTTTGAGTTGAACCTGGCTGTCATTATCCTGGAGGAGATTGGTTCCCACTGCATGAGAGCTTTAGCCGCTGTTGGTGACATCATGATGGCTACTCCCTCGGTGTGCTCGTGATTGTCCTCTGGGTGACCGGAGTAGATTATTGTCTCTCCAGTTGATAGTTGGCTCCTTCCACATCCGTTCCATCTGCTCTCGCAGATTCCCAACACTTCTATTTTATATCTCCTCATTTCTGCGGCTACCTGAGCAGCCTTCCCAGCTTCGTACATTGTACGAACATTCCACGTCCCCATCCTTATTTTTGTTCTCATCGAAAGAAGGCTCAACAAAATATAGTTTAACATATTCTTAACAATAATTATTTATGTACTAGTTTTTTAAATAAACAATGCATTAAGTAATATACCACAGACACTTGGGCACATACATCGATTTCTAATTAGTAAATTCCCTTCGTCACTGTTCTCTGGTCTATGTTTCTCAGCAGTGAGTATGAAAAAACCAGTCTTTCGTTACACTGAACCTAATTGGGTAATTTTTATTTGATTATACTACTGAATAATTAATTAGTGGGTTTTATAATCTATCAGGTTTGCTTATTAATGACATCACTTAGCAATCGTCTTAAATTTAAGAAATTATTAACTAAAAGTGACATAACAGATAAAACGGAGAAAAAACATTTGGTGGGATTATTAGGAAAATTGAAGCAACAAGGTTTCATCTCACCAGGTTTGTGTAAAACACTAAGATCTGTTGGTACTATGACACCCAGGTTATACTATCTATCTGAGATTCACAAAAAAGCGGCTGTACACCTAAACCAGCTCTCGATATGTTTAGCTCACCACATACTATGCAGCTGCGAAATGGCTGATACAACTTTTACAACGGTTACACAAGAAATTTGTAAAAGACAATTGTGAGTGTGTAGAAAGAATTTAAGACCTAAAGGTGAACGATAAGCTCATGGTATGCTTGGTTGTGTTTTCCTTGTTCAAAAATATGCCTTTGATAGAAACAGTAGGTTATATATGTAATGCAATGATGAACGGTGTAAAAATTGTTATTTCCATATCTGTATTAAAGGAGCTTCCTTTAAAGTGTACGATGAACGTACACGTTCTGCCTAGTAAAGAGATGTATAGGCAATCAGATGGTGTGCAATAAGATGATCACTGGGTCCAATCCTAGCGGGATTTTTTCCTACGGAAACTAGAGAATAGTCCTTTGGAATTCAAATTTCTCTTGGGAACAAAGATGGACCCAAGACAAAATACAAGATTGAACAACAGGGTTAACTAATACATATTATGATGGAGAGTTCAGTAGGGTTGAGGTGAATAGTGAAGTAAAAATCTGAACTCTACTCGCTTGTCTAAATACTATATAAGTAGTTACTCTTTTAACACTAAATAATTGTCTACTTACATCATCTTTGAAATTATGTTGCGTTTACTTTCTATCTACAACTTGAAATCATTGTAAAAAAATATGTTCAGATACCATTTTGCAACTTCTAATTGATTTATTAAGGATGTACGCAGTTGAAGAGTATCCACGAAATAAAACGTGCTCGTATTTTCCTGCAAATATGATTGTTCCTTCTTTATTCAAAATAAATATGGAATATCCAAAGTATTCTCGTTGAGGACATTTTCTAAGAGTGCATAACGACATAAAAAATCGGTTGGAGAACCATTGGAAAAGCTGAGTGTACTGGAAAACTGTTTTGGCCTAGTTCGAGACTCTTCAACAGTACGCACCCACTGGGGTTCAAACCCAGGACTTTCCGGTTATAAGGTGAGCTTGTTACTTAAGTTCTATTGGGAAGTCGCGAATAGTCTGGGGTACAGAGTGTTGGGTGTGAGGACAATTGCTCGCCTATTACATTGGCTAGTGGTCGCGCTGTGTCGTGAATCGTCAGAAGTAGGAATTCATAGGCTGGCCATTAGGTCGGGTCCCAGTGGCTTAATAGTCTACGAGCTCGCATTGTAATTGGAAAGTGTTGGGTTCGAACCCTAGTGGGTGCGTGCTGTGAAGAGTCCCAAACTAGAACGAAACCGCTATCCAGTACTTTCAAGTTTTCCAACAGTTCTCCAATGGATATCAGCTCATGATGAAATCCTGTAACCATTCAAATCTCTGCAAACCAACATTAGGACATTGAGAAAATGTTTTCTAAAACTATGAAATAATTAGTCGCCACTTTTAAATTCATTTTTGAAGTAATCATATCATTGCAGTGTTTTGTTTTAATTAATTTTTTGACACTAAAATATAATAGTAGTAGTAGTAAAAATAATGTCATAAACTGTACTCGGTTGCTAAAAGTTTTCATTGACTCGTTGAATTTTCATGAATATACATATAATAATAGTCAATACATATTCGTCATTCCTTTGTCAATTTTAATAAAAGAAAATATATATTCTTTGTCATTTCTTTAAGAGATTTTCTTTTTATCTTTAAAAAAAAATCAAGATAATTATACAAGTGGCATGAGTAGAAAAGCTGATATGGACAGTAAACGAGAACTCAACCAAATAACTGATAATGAAAAGGCAACACCCATCGGGGATAATTCTATTTATCCTCGCAAAGACAGACGTCGTTCAGATTGTAAGTTAATGAAAGTTTTTATATCCACTACAACTTTAATTGGATTTCTATATAAAATATTTGAGAGTCGTGTTTATAATATAAATAAGTTTACTTATGAAAAAGTTAATTTTCTCTCTCAAAGCTTACACCGTTTTCTCATCCTTTATGGTTTTTGTTAGTAAAAACAAAAATTGTGGAAGTATTTATCGCGAAAATGTTAACAGAGTAACTAAATGTGACAAGAATAAATAATAATTAAGAGAACATTTTCACTTTTTCTTGATGTTTATAGGCGGTGTAGGGTGAATTCATTTCATGATTGTGTTTGAAATACTTTTATTTTCACAGATTCTTTTTTCGTAGTATTTTCAATTCAGATCACTTCAGCTAGTCAGCCAGCTAGAAGTCAGTTATGCTGAGTAAATTTTTCATCTATTAAACGTTGAGCCACAAATATGTGGTGTGAGTGCTCTTAATGTAACAGCAGAAAGCAAGACACGGAAGCCAAAGTATACTTTCAAGTGATCAAACAGCTATTTATACCTATACAGTTTATATTCTCTAACCAATCACTGAGCGTGTGATTTTTGTTTACATTAAACGATATGAAATGAGCGTGTTGACCGCTTCACTTATTTGGGAAGTTGCATCAGCCAACGCCAGCGGGTTGATCACTGGCGAAATCTCAGTGCGGATACAGAAAGTTAATTTCGCATATACCAGTTTACGCCGTCTTTGGCGTAGATGTGATATCCGGCTATCAACCAAAGGGCGGGTATACTGTTCATCAGTCCGCCCCGTCCTCCTTTATGGCTGTGAGATCTGGCCGTTGAGAGTGGAAGACATGAAAAGGGTGGCTAGCTGTCTTTGATCATAGGTGCCTGTGTTCTATCTCCCGTGTTAGGTGGTGGTATAATAGGGTGAGAAATGTTGAGGTTAGGCATCGGTCGAGTGCTAGGTAGGTGGGAGGGGAAATCAATCGACGAGGTTGTGAAGTTACATCGATTGAGTGAGATGGTTAGGACATGTGTTACGTATGTCTAGTCATCGCCTTCCTCGACTGGCAATGTTAGCTGACATAGAGTCAGGCTGGGAAAGAGCTAGCGGCGGTCAAACGAAAACATGGCACCAGTCAATGAAATCCACGACAGTTAGTCTAAGCCACGTAGGAAGGTGTAGACTTCATGATTGGATTCCTCGAGATGGTAAAGACCAAAGGCTAGCGACAGTCGGTGATATGGCTCAAAATCGTTGTCAATGGGTGGCGAAGATGCATCCACTCCTAGGGACTTACAATACCCAATGAAACTATATTGTTCTTCGTTATTATTATTCCTTTTGTCTCATATCCCTGTCTACTGTCTCTGTTTTGCATTTCTTCTATTTTCTTATCTTGCTTTGTGTGGAACAAGGAGGGAGTTTGACGACTGTAACTGCTGCACATCGGTGCAAAGTTATATTTTGAAAGCAGACAGACTGACATGAAATAGAATGTTCAAATGTGTATAGCATTCTGTTGCTATTGTCGGCGAGAATAATATTCCGTTGGAACTCATTGTCTGTATCACACCACCAGAATAATACTACTCTCCTAGACTGAAGTAGACGCAACAGAATTCGAACCTGGGATAATTTATGACTGAATGTTAAGTCGTCAAGCTACTACGGCACACATTGACGCTTTTAGATCACACAATGATTCCCTTTTGTAAATTTGAAGAAAGAAAGAAGAAACATTGGCGCAGAATAATCTGGATCCATTTTATTTCGTTGATCCTCATCAGCTGCGTACAACCTGAATTTTTTAATTAAAAATAAAAAGTGTACAGTTTTAACAAACCCTTGTCCATTAGCAAGCATAGTGTCAGAGCGTCATAGTAAAATAAGGCATTGAGGTTTAGAGGGTGTCTAAAGTGTCACGACATATATATATCTTGTTAGAGAGAAGTTTCTTGAAAAATTAGTTAACAGTTGTGTTGTTAAGGTCACGTAGCATTTGTATATTTCGCGATTGAGTAGAATTATTTCACATTACATAACTATCCTACTGAGAAATCTACAAATATGATTTTATTTGAGTAAAGCTTATCTCAAATATTCTAATCTCTTGTTTGTTAATTTAGTAAATATGTGGTCTCAAACATATATCTCTTGCCTTATTTCTAATCCCCGTAGTAGTGGAATGTTGATTTTTATTGATTACAGTTACTAAAACAGAAAGTGTTAGTGAAGTCTCTTCAACATGGAAATAATTAAGGTCATCAATTCCTCTGGTCTTATTGAGATGTGAATAATACATGAGTACTTGTTAATTAACTTAAACAATCGATATTTATCAACACTATTCATTGGTATACATCTTACAGAGTTCTTACTTTGATTTCTAATGCCATCGAATCGTATCAAGGAGATCATAATATATATTTTCAGTATTACAATATGCTCCTATTAGTAGTTGTGTTATTATTATCACGTATATATATTTTATTAAATTTATTCTTTCTTTTTCCAGATGACTCTTCACATATTCGTAATGAAAAATCAACAGATAATATTGCACTTCAGAGGTTTAAAAATTATATGCGTGATAGAAGACGTCGTTGATTTTCTTTTCCTTTTGATATTTCTTTTTAATGGATTCCTTCTCCTTTTTCAAATTTAATATTCCAGTTTAAACTGTAATAATAATAATATTGTTACTGTGATTACTGGTGTTTCTGTGTACATTGTAAATATGACTTCTAGTGATTATTATTATTATTATTATTATTATTACTTCATCAGAAGTATCTGATAACAACTAAATGTACATTTTTTAATTAATAACTAAGATATTTTTATCTCTAGGCAATGTCACTTCACTCCATATAATCTTTGGTTGTACATTTATCTCAATGTCTTTTATTGTGCGTGAGAAACTTAGTAATTTAATGAAACATAATTTAATGAAATAAATGACTAACTACTAAGTTATTGTGTGTATAAATAAATATGAATTACCTGCCCATTAAAACAAACCTTTTTTCAAAATATTAGTCTTAAGCAGTAAGCAGGTGTTCAAATTGTTTGATTCGCCATTAATATTAAAGTAGTCGATTACAATAGAAGAAAAAAAGGTATCTTAGCAATGGGTTTATACACATATATAAATAAATATACCCAAGTTAAAATAAAGCAGCTATTTAATGTTTGTGTCATGTTCAATAGGCAATCGATTTTTATTTAACTAATCCATCGTCGTATCTGTTAGTAAACCATCCTGTTTAAATTCTTTACATTGAGAAATGAAAACAATTCAAAACAAAACAGTAATTATTACTCGCTTATAATTTTGTCTATTGAGTTTAGAATATAAATATTAAACGAAGTGATTAGAAATCGCATTGGACTTTATCATTGGCTAAGGATGAAAATATATTTTACTCCTCAGTAACTCACAGTAATGAATTTCGATAGGGCGATAGCCAGGTTAACTGATCTGACATGTAAAATGTATTGGCACAACACATTTCGAACGTTCTGATTACATACATATTTACATAAAAGTTAACGGAGTACAAAGTGTGAAAATTGAAATCAATAGGGGGTCGAAATCACAGATGAAATATTAAAAAAAGTGTGAATAAACCTTGTCTTAAAATTGGATTACGGCTTAAATATCGTGTAGGTCAGAATCAGTTTTCGGGATGTGGAAATCCAGACACAATTTTGATATAATCTGTTTCACCAACAAGAATCTCTTGTAACTGTTTATGTTGATCACTATGGTTGTTTGATACTGCTCACCACTTCTGTAATGGTTGTATGATGCAGAAAAGTATTTTAACGTCTGAGCATTTTGAAACTCTAAAAGAATGAAGGTATAACACCCTGGTAGTGTTATTCCTAAACCAGATAAAAGTTCAGGTGTTGTCACAAGAAGGCAAAACAATTTACCAATTTACGTACATATGGAGTACTCATCGGTGTCTCTAGGATAGGCGTAGAGAGCACCTTTTAAAATGTCTGCAACATTAAGTGAAATCATTCGACCCAAACGATCCTCGCAAAACATGTGGAACGTTATCTGGCCGAAGGTATGTAGAGAGGGGTCATAAAGCTGACCTTAAAATTATTTAAATTCATATATAGAGCACGTCCGGGTCAAATAATTAGGATTATTTGAAGTCAGTCAAAAAAAAACTTTTACCTATTCAGTATGTCCGGAAGTTGTTTGTCAATAAATTGAACCTCTGTTTGCAGTTCGATTTTAAAACAAGGGTTATTCACACTTTAGTTTTCCTTTCATCTGTGATTTCGACCCCTATTGATTTCAGTTTTCACATTTTATACTCTGTTAACCTTTATATAAATATGTTTGCGATCAACATGTTCGAAATGTGTTGTGCCAATACACTTTACATGTCAGATCAGTTACGTTTGCTTATTGTTCTTTCGGGATTTACTTCATTGAAAAATTCATTTTCAGTACAGAAAGTGCCTGAACTTTGATTTGAAAGGAATTACAAATTATAAAGGAACTTTCAAGTATTGGTTTGTAGGGATTTTGATTGATTAGTTGAAGGATTTCATCATAAGCTGACATCCGTTAGAGAACTATTGGAAAACCTGAGAGTACTCAACATCTGTTTCGTCCTAGTTTGGGACTCCTCACAGTACGCACCCACCGGGTTTCGAACGCAGGACCTTCTGTTTACAAGGCGAGCTCGTAGACTATTATGCCACTGGGATCCGATCCAATGGCCAACCCATTAATTCTAACTTCTGCCAATTCACGACATAGCGCGACCTTTTAGGAATGTCCTCGATGAGTAACTGTTCTCACCTGCGACCTGCTGTACCTTACTGGTCATGGCTTCCCACTAGAACCCCAGGTGACTGCCTCAATAGGGCCAGTCGCTAGTGAGCATCTGATCTGAGGTTGACTGTAAAATACAATAGTTTGCTTTTAATATTACTAACCAGCACTTAAAATAATAGCAAGTCCAGTTTGACAATCAATGTAGTCAAATCACGAATATCTTTTTACAAGCTGTCGTCTTCTCTTATGGGGATTACCGATAATTATACGGTCTTTGCGTGAAATCTGGTCATGTTTTGATTTGGGCGTTTGGGTGACTCACTTGATGAGCGTCATGTGTTCCTAGCTCAAGCCCTATCAGTCTTCGTCATGGACAGCAGAGTATTATCAATCGAGAAAACCTAAGAACATAACACGTAAATCTGTACTTGGTCAATCGGTTGAATTGGAATTATTGAATGATAGTTTGGCTTTCTTGTACCTAGTATATGTATAACAGCATCGCATTTGCACTGAAAGTGAAGGCGATCAAGTATTTATCTTAACATGAACAATTTGTATGGTGATTAACTTGATATCAACCAGTCAGTTGGAAGTTGAGTGATGAAGACAATGATCTACAATAGGAGTTTGTTAAAAGTCATTTGGTTTTTACAGTAACTGATACTAAAATATTTGTTCTAACTGTCTCCACTTAAGATAAAGTGTGAATGCAAAACGACTTCATGCAGGGTAACATGAGTGAGATATGTCAACTTTGGCGATATCTGTCAACCTCTTAGTCCAACTAGAAAATGATGTTGAGAATATTGCCGCGAAGAACATCTCTATTAAGGTTACAAGAATGGCGTATGTGAGATTATACGATTTTCAATGAGTCAATCCTATCTTGATTTTGAACTAGATGACAAGACTTTGTTATCCAAATCAATCGAAGTAGCAGTAACTTGTGGTCATTAATTTCCCCCTATACTCTAGCTAGCGTCTACGAAGTCAAGTGGGGACAGTTACTTGTCAGTGTGATCGATTGGTGCTAATGCTGTATCATAAATTAGCAAAAGTTACAATTTGTGGGCTATCGGGTTTTGATGTAGTGACCGAGTGGTAATGTATTTTTTTTCGTAACAGTGGATGCACACTGATGAAAAGTGTCAGAGTAAAACAAATTAGCTGTCTAGTTCTCTGTAGCTGCAGTCGGTTAATGACAAAGCTAATCGAATCCCTACAAGCCAAAGCTTTGATTATTTCTTATTTGTCACATGTTAGTTTCATTCTGAAGTTCTCATGTGGATGATTTAGAGTATAACTTCGTTAAGAAAAGTCGAAAAATTAGGCCAAATACGTTGAATAGGAGTATTACTATGTTTGGTTTTATGTTTTTTATCACGCAAATGTTAAATAATGATGAAATATGTGTTTTTATTGACTCCTAGCTAAATCAACAGGTTGAATGTTGTCAATGGAAGTGAACATTGAACGTTTGTTTATTGGAACTGGTAGCCATTGGTGGGCAACTCGAAGGCGCGAATGGTTCGATCGTGTGCAAGTTCGAAGAAGACAGACGAATACGAATAAAAACTTGTAGTTGTCTTTACTTTAATTGCCAAACAATATAACTTCCTTCTTACAAACACTGGTGTTTCGGAGTTGAAGTCGAGACAAGTACTTCGTAATTATCGGTTCCGAGCGTCTTCGTTACAATAGGAACTTAGGCTAAGTTCCTTGACAAATGTGTTAGTAACTTTATTTATTCGGGTATTTGCCCAATATAACTAACTTACCATTGGTTATCAAATTCCAACGTTTATCACCCACAATGAATCATCATTATTTTAGTTTTTCTGGAGAATGACATCATGAAGCTCAGTTTTTTTAGAAGTATATTTGTCCGGGTATGTAGTTATCACTTAAAACTGTGTAAGAACTTATGTGTGATCCCGCTTTCCTTGCAGATTCTTGATGTGTGACATTCAACTTTCAACTACTGCTGCACAGATTGGGAATCCATACTGTCTATGAGGGTTTTGACACACATATAGTATCACCACTATCTCACCGACAATACCGTCAATTACATTAATATCTATATAGTTATTGGATGGCGTGTAGCAAGATACTCTGGGAACGAACCAACCAAGAATCTGTTGTTCAACAAACATGCTGAAGAAAATGGAGTTGGATTACGCATACTCTGAGGAGACTATCGAATAAAATTGTGCCCCACGCCCTCAAATGGCACCCGAACGGGAAACGATGAGTGAAGGAGATCGTGCGAGGAGAAGATCAGAGACTGGGCAGTCGTGGGGCTTGCTAACGGGAACTACAAGAAATAGGACAAAGTGGAGATGTGCTGTTGTAGCTATATGTTCCGATCAGAACCCAAGGGAACAATAAAAAAAATAGTGAATAATATTGAATAACATATGATACTGCAGATTCCTAAACACTATAGCGTCGTTCCAAGTTTCGAAAGTTAAATAAAAATCCTAACACCATTAACGGAAAACTTCAATTCCATTATTGCAAAAAAGTATATTTTAATGAAGGTCTCTGAGACAATTTGAAATGCAAAGCATTTTCTGTCAGAAATTTTGTAGATATTTGGTGCGAATTAATAATGTAAATTATTTACTGTGTTTTTTTTAAAGAGATTTGATCTTGTCAATTAATAACATAAAATAAACAGAATTGATTAATTTTACTTTGTGAAAACATGACTTAGGTACAACACAAGATAAAATAAGATTTTAATCGTTTCTTTTTTGATATTTTAATTATTTAACAATATTAAATGTACAACATCAATGGCTCTTAAGTATAAACTTCATTAGGAGATAGTTTTACACTTCAATTGTAAATTAATTTCTTCTGAAAATAAATGGAAACTAATTTGAATAAAGATCACATTGGAATACATTAGGATTTACAGTAGAACACATATTACGTCGATTGTACAATAGTAACTGATAAAAACTAAAATATATCATTAACAGTTTCTAAATTTAGAATCCAATGGGAAAAAAAAATTATCTGTAAACACAATTTTTTTCAGGTGAATAATTGTTCACTTATAGCGAGAGACAGAGGATGTCAAATCTAACGTTTTTCCTTTGTCTTTTTTATTTCATACATTTATTAAATATCAAGTTGTAGAAAAGGAAAGATGAAAAGCACTCCAATGATGAAAATAAACTAAAGAGTGAAAGCTAAACTGAAAATTGTCATAATGTTGAACAAAGGCGAATAAAATAGCTACTTTCAAATTTTAGTCTTTCATACTGCAATGGATTGCTTGAAATAATGTTATCACTGTTAATCTTCCATAGAGTTTTGTAGCAGTAAAAATAAAAATGTGTATTCTTTACAGTAATGACTACAGGAACTGTAACTTTTTAATAAGGGATTAAAACTTCTGGATTTATACATTCTTCCACCTCTTATTTAAGACAAAATAATTTTATGAATTATTAGAAAGAATTGAACTTTTTGCATGCTTAAGTGGGACGATTTCATAGTGTTTGACACCTTTATGAAACTAACCAATAGATGTTAAAATGAATTTTGTATTTTTATAGATGGTGGTCTTCCAGTGTTAGGAGATTTATCAGTTTCATTTCTCGCCTCCATCTGTTCACTAACCTGCTGAAACATTTCCTTTGATGTTGGTATTTTTACAGCTTTAACTGATGAATCAGTGGGAGCATAAGCTAGTTTTACAGACGGCATACGTACTGGAATGGGTGAACGTACATTTGGCGTTTCCCGTGATGAAGTCTCACTCACTTTAATTTGATTGACACAATCAATAAGTCTTTCGAGAATTGATTCAATGCGTTCTAAGCGGCTGTCTATTTGATTATGTCGTGCCTGCATACTTTCACTATTCGCTGCTGGATCAGAGGTATTTGGTGTTTGACTGGTATAAGGACCACGGAAACTAATCCCTGTACCCAATGCATGTCTATTGTTTTGCAATGCAAAACTTTGTATTAAGATGAATTTCAGTACTCCATCGATCTCTTGTTTGTATGACTTAACACAGTCATCTGATTCACCCATCAATTTTTTAATTCGTCTATTATTTTGTTGTTTAATCTTAATTAGGTGATTCTGTCGAGTCAAATTTTTTTTGGCATTGCTATTTTCCTCCTCAGGTGAATCATTTTCTTGTCCATCTGCCTCACCATTCGATTCCATTTTTAATAATGTTTTATTTCTTTTATGCGAATTTTTTAAATCTGCACAAATACACTGACCAGTTCCGATGTAAAAGCATCGTAGTAACTCATAAATAATGCATAGAGTATTGAACGGTGGAGGCAACATGGTTCGTTCACTGTATTCTTTTACCATTTTATATCGTCCTGCTAGCCAATGTGCTGTCGATTTTTGATCTATTCTTGATACAGTATTACTGAATAACGCAATAAGTAAATTGATTAAGATAATATTAACAATGCCAACGTATAATACCAGGACAAAGAATGTGACTGTATGAAATCCGTTTACACTTCCACAATATTTGTTATCTTCACAAGTTTCTTCCTCCAAAACAATGCTTACTTCAAATATGCTGTAGAATGCGCGCCTGAATAATCCAGTAAATGATTTAGCTAGTCCTAGTCTCTGCAAATCTCTTTGTCGAGAATATTCTGTGCTGTTCATAAGATTCGGTTGTCGGCGTTGTTCTGGTGTCTCAAAAAAGCTATTTGGAAAAATTAATCCTTGAAACCATACTCCGAAAGAGAATATGAAGATTGCAAATACTAATAACAGTGGTATTAAATCTTTACGTAACATATCAGCCATCATTTTTAATCTAGGACCAATAATGGGAGAAATAGAAGTAATGTAGAGAGTTCTCATGTAAAAAAGATTAAGACCAAGCATATACAGATTGCGAGTTAAATAAAGTACAGGATCATGGGCTTCATCAAAAAGCGATGCATACTTATTCACCACATTCATTCTTATGCAAAAGCCAATAAATGTTAATCCGATTGCAAATAAATCTATCCAATTCCACCCATCTCTGAAATAATCACCAAATCCATCTCGAGATGCTTCAAGTACGATTTGTCTCATTTCTTCGAATGCATATCCCAAGACATAAGATAGTGAAATTAATTCCATACGATTTAGGGGAAATTTTAAATCGTATACGCATACAAATGAAAATAATAATAAAAATAACAAGTGGAAAAGGGAATGTAAGCAAAATTTCATTGTTGGTGATGAATAGACTCCAGTAACAAAATGCCATCTTGGAGAAGAACTCCAGCCAAATTGATTCGACATGCGGTCATAAATGCTTACTTCAGGTTCAGGTGCTTGTATTGGAAATGTCGGTAAGGCGTTTTGAGTTTTTTGCGACTTTGATTTTTTTTGGTTCACTGGATTAATCATTAGTTGCGGTGTGGCTGGAAGAGCTTTAGATAACATATTTACAGAGGATGATATTCCGTCTGTACGTGCCAGTGAATCATTCAATAAGTTGCAAGGCAATTTACCTCCCATTGCAGAATTAGCAGCCATAGTTCGTAGTAGTGCTGCACGTCTACGTTCTTTATTCCTTTTATATTCAAAGTAAAATATACCAGCAACGGGGAAGAATTTGCATGTCCACCTCATCCATATAGGTAAACAAATCAGAACTCCATGCCATCGTTCATCTAAAAGACGCTGGCAACATGACAAGCTTAATACACTGGTACATTTTGCTTTCGCACATAAATCTATTAAAGAAATACCTCCAAAGGTACGCAACGGTGCTCTCAGCATTGAGCGACATATCATTTTTTCTGGGGTGTTGTCTTTGAGAAAAACCAAGTTTAATACATCAACAGCGATAGATTCTAGTCGATCCGCAAAAGTGCTCAATTCACTCAGCATCTGGAAAAATTAATAAGTGGTAATAAGTTCTTATTATGCTGAAAAGTAACCATGCGAGACATCGATTTACTAATAATTTATAGAACATAAAACAACTGGTTCAAATCCTGCAGTAATTTAGAATTTCTTTTCACTCTAACTCTTAATATAATTAAATGTACTGTGGATGCAACAGTTGCTAATAAACTTGTGTTTCTCGAAGTTAGCAAGTCAACTAGTGGTCCCTGTTTTTCATCCTTAGACGCTATAGACTGCGATCTGAAAATGCCTCATTAATTATACAGCATGTACCTGGTAAAATCAAATATTATTTCTTATGTTATGTTGGATGATACTGACCAGACGTAGAATCCAGGATGCTCATCTTAGCCTATTCGGTACTCGTCAGTTGGATGTACCTGCATTTCCAGTGGACGATGTTGCTTCCATTGAGACTGGGACCCTGCATTCATCGTTTCAAAGCATTATCACTTAAGCAACTAGGGTTATGGAAGCCACCTCTCGTAGAGAAGGTATTAGTAGCGTCTTCCGTTGACTGGTAATTTTAGATCGTCCCACCTAGGATTCGTCAGTTGAATGCACCTTCATTCCCAGTAGCCTATAATGTTTCCAATTAGACGCAAACGTTTCACTCAGTGTTTCAAATGCTGGGCATTTCGATCTAAAATAATCAGTCGACGGAAAATGGAAATTAGCCTAAAGACAAAATTATTTATTTATTTTTGCTTGAACCTTTAATGGTCAAAAAGAGAATCAGTACAACAAGATTTTCACTTAATTTTATCATTTAAACACTTTCATGAAACTAACTCTTATACACTCACTAAAAATATACAATCTGTACTTCTAGATTTCCTCTCAGCCATTTTACCCTCACTGCAGATGTTTCAGTTACACTTCGCAAATACTCTGAAATTAAAACCATTGTATTGTGCAAATACTCTTTCATCAGTGACAGAAATTCATTTGTTGTCGTCTGCAGTTCGAAAATTTGTTCATTTGATGTTGTACCACTCTGTTACCTTAAACTACATATTCGACTATTAGAAGCTATGATAGCATAACCTAAAGGTTGTGGCAGTCTGCATGAAGTTATTTGTTTGCTGATTTCTAGCAAGCGGTGTCAAGAATTACTGAGGGTTAACTTTTACCTAACATCAAATCTGACAATATTTGTATACAAATCATGAAAATGTCTTACCTGTTGGGGAAAACCAGGTTGTTTATGAAGACGACGAAGAATCAGGGTCACCAAAACAGTTGCTGGTAGAATATCGAATTGTCTCATGCGAAGCAACTGTTCAACTACACGAAAGCGTCCACAGATTATTGCTAAAAATAAAAGAGATCTGTGCATGGGACGCAGAATGACAATTTTATCAGTACTTAACGAATTGAACGTAAGTAAGCCAGTCATTGATTGTAGAACTGTTCTAAAGTCGTGGGCTTTTAACGTTTCATGGAATTCTGCTTGAACATGTGTAAACACTCCAGTACCATTTTCGTAACAATCAGAGAATAGTTCGTACATTTGCTTCAAGCTGATTTGTTGAGCACTTTCAAAATCATCCAGTGATATCTGATCTGCAGGCATGGCTAAACTCTCATTTATTCTGCTAAAATCAGTAGCAGATGTAGGAGTGTTTGATTTGTTTTGTCTCCATACCAGAGAGTCTCTTAACGTTGTTAACAGTTCCACATTATCGTTCAGCAGAATCTTACGCCATATGCTAATTACATTTGTGCAGTCCGCCTTGTAACTTTTCCCAAAGCTTTTTAATTGACCCTGATTACCATCAGATGTATCCATCTTATCAGCCATACGACGAATAAATGAATAACCTTTCCGTGATCTTTTGCGCATTTCACTACTCACACCTGGACTAAGTTCTCGTTTTACACTCATTGCCACGTAAGGTTCACAGGCTGCTATGTTACCAAGTCCAGAACGTTCTTTCTGTTTCTCTTCTTCATTTAATCTTTTTCTTACATTAAGTGGAACAATATCGTCGATTAACATTAGCAAAGCGATTAATTGTCTCTTTGGTAAAACATCTACTAATATTTGTGACCTTCCAGCAGCATATGCTAAGTCCAATGCAGTTTTACCTTGTGAGGTAGGCAACATTGGATCAGCACCATTATCAAGTAGAATTTTCAAACAATCATGGTAATAGTTTACAGCATCTTCACAACTTGCATGATGTAAAGGTGTCCAATGGTTCATATCTAAATAGTTTGCAGCTGCTACTGTTTTCATCATGCTCTTATTAAAATCCGTCGAATCTTTTCTTTTCATTGCTAATAATTTTGAATGAGACCTATTTTCTTTCTGTTTGCCGACTATATTGCTTATATCCTTTTCGTCACCTTCATCATCAGAACATTCATTATCATCATTCAGTGCGGATAAAAATTGGGCTGGCACAGACACAGGATGTAGACGAGTGGATTGTGCACGTATCAGATAGGACAAAATAACTGGCTGCCCGAATACCGATGCAACGTGTATTGGTAGACGACCATTTTCATCCGCTTCTTGTAAGGAGGATGTACCTTTTTCAATCAAGTACCTTAAAATGAACAAAAATATACGTTGCAATTCAACGATGTGAATAGTGTGGAAACGTAACAACACAAATATTTTTGTTACAAAAATGCAACAAAACAAGAAAATATTTATTGACGGGAATAAATCCTGTACACTATATCTAATATTCTCCTGCCTTAAGGTTAGGTGCCACCATCTAATACTTCAGTGTGTCGGTGGCATAGCGGTTAGGATGCTCGCCGACCATGTACATGGTCCGGGGTTCGATCCCCTGCCGACGCACTCCTTTACCTAGCTAACCCAGAAATGATGCTGGCAAAAAGGAAAGGTTGGGCATAAGGCTAGCAACCCCATCCTGTAAAAATTAAACACTGCTACAGAGACTTCAAGCCACTAGCTTGAGGCCCTATGTTCCACTGGGAACGTGAAGAAAAAAAGAATCTAATACTTTATCATTACAAATCTCACAAAAAAATTCTTTTTAGAAATCAGTTATTATTATTCCACTTAATTAGTCATGTATCATCTTTCTTTTTTACATTGCTTACAGCAACTTCCTATCGTGCATTAATGCAACTCAAATGACATTAAATCTAATATCATTCCTCAGTGTATTTAATGATGACATTATTGGTATTTTATCATTAAAGCATTCAGTCATATCCAAGAGACCGCTACTAGATAACCAAGCGGAATTTTTATAATATTCAGTGTAGGCAGTATAGAAATTACACAGTAATTTAAGCATTTTGCTTTCATTATGATTAATTAGAAAATATAATTTTTGAATTAATTAATCTTATTCAAATTAGTAGACAAGGGCAATTTTTGATATTACAGTGAGAAAAAAGCTAATCTTTATTCAATTGGGTTTCAAAGGGTGATAATATTGTAGGAATAATCAGTATAAGATTGAATACGTCACTAGCCACAACCTATCCTGCAGCTAAGTTGGTTCCCATCTATCGAACACCATGCTCTTTGTTGCAATCAGAAGTCGACAGATACCCTTCTCATGTTAATTCCAACTGTGTATAGAAATTTACGTGTATCTGCGGGAGCAGTTACATTGGAAGAACAGAAAGAGGGGCATATCTCCGATTTTCTGAACATGTACCGAGAAGCCTATGTCTAAAGGGAACAAATGCTTTAAACAGTGCTGTCACCAGGCATCTCTTTGACACGGGTCATGAGATGGACGTCGCAAGATCGTTCAAAATTATGAGTAGGCAAAAGAGTCCAGTTCTCCTTCAGTTTGCCTAGGTAATCTCCATCAAGCGCCTGAAATCCGATTTATGTGTTCAGAAGGAAGTGGTTATCAGTCTTTCCTTGCCCTCTCTGGTAACTGGATGTTTTCATCCTCTTTTTTATTTGATTACGTAACGCCAAAAATTCCATTCTGTATGATTGATTATTGTTTGGGATAAAGTGATTATTATTACCATTATATGCATACATTGATATTTGTTTAAACTTGAACTCTGTGTCTAAGTATGTTAAAATTGTTTCTGTCCATAAACTTAATAATATCTTTAGGCAGTAAGCGGATGATGAGAAGCCAACGATATCGAAATAAATGGTGGTACCATTTTATTCTCCACCAACTGTTGTTCTTACCTTATTCAAATTCATAAAGGGCCATAAATGTGTGAAATTACCATAATCATTATTTTATACTGAAAGTAGAAACGTAACTAATTTAGTTGAATAACTGACTACTGACTATGACTGTGCTCTTTTCAGCCATTTTTCCTTAGCTTGGAATATAGACAAACAGTGTTGATTATTTACAGTATGCTAGTAATGGAATCCAGTACTCTTATTTAGTCTCATTCTGAACCCACCAGATGAAAATTCCAATGAGTGATATTTTCGCACTGAAACTCGAATCTACCTTTGACCTTTTTAAAAATGCTAAAGGTTTATCCACTACTCAAATGAGACATAACAAATACATCTTGTGCGGTCATTGTCATTAAGATTACTTATCTGAACTTGTAATTTTCTTCAGATGGTTTATTCATGTCGAACTGATCAGTCTATATAGACACAGAGGTTCCTTCGAAGGATACCTAAATATTATCTTGAGTTTCAGTTCAATGTATTTTATTCATTGGTGGTTAGCAGTGAAATCTATTCAAGAAAACTACGTGTCAACACAGGCCGATCGTCTCCATTTTTATGAAACAATGGCAGGAAAATTTAAGTACATATAAGTAACATAAACCAGTAGCTTTCAAAAGCTGTAACGATGTTATTTATACAACAACGGAGGAGATGGAAGTTATTTTTGAAGTTCTACTTTTAGATTAGTTGGTCCACAAGTAAAACTACAGTAGAATTTTGCTTCATTTGTATATTTTCTAAAGTTTGGTTTGTAAGGGTTTGGATCGGGGCCCAGTGGATTAATGGTATACGAGCTCGTCTTGTAAAAAGAAGGTCCTGCGTTCAAATCATGGCGGTGGGTGCGTACTTCCGATGATTTCCAAACTAGGATGAAACAGCAGCTGTCCAGTACTTCCTGGTTTTCAATGGTTCTCTAACTGATATCAGTCCGTGATCAACTCATTTGTATATTTCTAGTATATTGATTCCAGGAGAGGATTACGACGTCAAACATATCTGTTTTCCTTCATTTATTTCTTGCTATATCATAAAGAAACACCCAATTACGCCTAGAAAGAAATAGTTTGTAAGTGCCACATCAACTTTCAGGATGTCAGAGTGTACTAGAGAGATATACAGTCCTAATGTTTTGGGTGAATCCTCGTAGTTTCAATACTGGTTGTATATTACTTAGACTTCGAACTGAAAATATCATTGTATTACCATATTTTACTGAGTGCATATCAGCGTTATTCGAACTATAAGTGATTTGAACTCAAATGTTACCAAAGTATCTAAATCTAGGCTAAATTTTAATTAATTGCTCCAAGTCTGTGTAGGGTAAAATGAAGGAATTTATGCTGTTTGATCAAGTGATATAGAGATATGCCTCGGATTTACTAATTTACATTAAAAATGTTGCTTTGAATTTCACATATAACGAATTATGTAAATTTAATGTTCACTTTTCTATTCGTCATACCGTACTTCTCTCAAGAAGTCTGTTGTCAGTGTCAGATGCATCCTTCAATCTCTCTAACAATTTCTAAAACAACTAGGACCCATGATAATCTTCCCCCTACGACTTGACATGCAAACACTCTCGCTCTTATTTTATGTTCTTTACCTTTCAGTAAAACGACTACCTCTGTATCAGTTAAACAAACTAGCTCTTCTTTCAATCAATCCCACAACTCCAGAAATAATACAAGAAAACGGAGAAATATATGGTTTAAATATTCTGTCTCATTTCCAGGTGACTTTTTTGCTAATATTCTGTTCTTCTACAGGCCAAAAAGTTTCTTAGTCTTCTCCAAATTGCCGACACCTGCTTCTACAGTTCTCGGATATGTCGTTGGTTTAAATGTTGGACTCACTAGCTGTCTTGTGACTTTCGCTAGTTCGTTCATACCCATAGGTCAGTTTGCATTCACTAACAGTAGCTGATGGATGAAAGCAATAGGGAAGCATTCCATAAACTGGGAAGCTAGCAGTTCCGCCATGAATCTTCTTCTATGGTTAGTGACGCAAGTCACAGTAGATTTGTCAGCGTTAGTGCCAGAACCAGTAAATTTCTATCTGTACCGAGGTGTTCTTTTATAAGTAGCACACATGATATTACTATGGCTTCCTGCTCTCCTTTATTCTCATGCTTATAGATTGTAAGTGCTTAATGTTTGTGTATAAAATGAATTAGAATTACTTTGTTTTACAAACACATAAACTTTTATACATTTAACAGATATGTATTTCTAATAAAAGGTGTACTAGAGTAATACGTATTGTAACAAAGTGGAATCAGCTGTTTAGTTGTAAATTATGCTTTTTTGACACAATACAGAGAACTGCGCTTGTGGATTTCTATTTTATTGATGAAAATTGCATTACGGAGCTGATGAAAAGTAATATCACGAAAGTATAAAATCGAGTAGTGATTCAAAACCAAAGAAAATTTCAGTCGTGAATTGGCAGAAGTTAGAATTCATGTGTTGGCCATTGGATCGGGTCCCAGTGGCTTAATGGTATACGAGATCGCCTCGTAACCAGAAGGTCCTGGGTTCGAACCATGGCGGTGGGTGCGTACTGTGAAGAGTCCCAAACTAGGACGAAAGAGCTGTCGAGTACTCTCAGGTTTTCCAATGGTTCTCTAACTAATGTCAGCTCATGATGAAAATGCTGTAACTGATCAAATCCCTACAAACCAACACTTGGAAATTTCAATCATTATCATTTAAAAATAATTATTAATCTACCGTATTATATTTACCTAAACAATAATCAAATATCTGAGCCCAAATGCTTTGGCATATATTTATTCAGTCAGAAATAAAATACACAAAATAACTTGTAATTAATATAATCTTTAATAGGGTTCATAGAACTGACTGACTTAACCCTAAAAAGTATCCATAAGCATATGTGAGAAACAACTTTCTATTTAAAATAGGAGACGATAACAGTTAAGCAACAAAAGAATCAAAGCTGTGGTGTTTTATGTTCATTGAAGTAATAGAGTTTTTTGTGACTTAAATAAAATGAGATTTTAGGTATTCGTTAGTGTTCTGTGTTTGCCTACTTATTTTTTTTTAACTTGTGTAATGTAATCACTTTTTCAGCTTCAACCATATTTAGATATAGAATTAGTCAAACGAAAGAACGAAGAATGTATTTAAAGAATTGGAAATTCTGAAATACAATCTACTATTTGAAAGTTATGTTATTTCCATTTTCTTTCCACCGAAGTTCATTTTACCTGGTGTTCTGTTAGTTAGTGAATTACACGTTAGATAAGATACCTAGTGTCTATTTAGTCTACATGAAATGTTAGGGAAACTTTTTTCCATATGTCTGGTCGATAGGATGTAATGTGACAACATTTTCGGTGTATTTTTGTCCAACACAAATCTAATTCAATGA